AAAAAAAAAAAATCTTCACAGGAGCAGAAAGCCTCCTCTTTCTCCCACTGAGCTACTGGTGGATTCAAACTGTTGACTTTGCAGTTATTGTTGTTAAGTGCTGTTGAGTTGATTCCGACCCACAGCGACCCTGTATAGGGTTTCTGAGGAGCAGCTGGTGAGCTTGAACTGCCAACCTTGCTGCTCAAACCAACTTTGCAATCCAGTGCATTAGCCCACAGCACCCAATATGTCTCTGGTAGTTTAATGGTTATGAGACGGGCTGCTAACCTCAAGGTCAGAAGTTCAAAATTACCAGCGATTCTGTGGGAAAAAGATGAGGCTTCTGTTCCTGTAAATATTTACAGCTTGGGAAACTTCACATAGGGTTGCTGAGTCTGAACCAACTGTGTGGTATGTAACCACCACCACATCACCTGGGCTTCTTAAAAGGTTGTGTTGATTGTTTTTTGAGAATCCAAAGGTTTAATCTCAAGTGATTCATAGGATGATCAAGGGGTCTTATTATAATGAAGTTTTGAAAAAATTAAAAACTATGCTGGGGAGAAAAAGTCTAGAAAAGTTGTCCCAAGAATTTTGTTCTCCATCATGACAATGTACCTACTCATTCTTTGAGGGTAGCAAGGGTTTTCCTATGAGGATTTCATTGGAAAACATTACCTCATCCAACCTACAACCCTTATATTGCCCCTTCAGATTTCTTCTTGTTCCCCAAACTTAAAGAACATTGAAAAAGATACATGATTTGAGTCTCTTGAGAATGGTAAAGCAGCCCATTTGGTTGTGTTGTAAATTGAAGAGTCTAGAATTCTTGGGGAAGGGATTCCTGTTGTTAAGTGCAGTTGAGTCAGTTCTGACCCATAGCGACCCTGTACAGGGTTTCCAAGGGTGTAAATCTTTATGGGAGTAGAAAGCCTCATCTTTCTCTCGCGGAACAGCTGGTAGTTTCAAACCGCTGACCTTAAGGTTCGCAGCCCGCTTCGTAACCACTATGCTACCAGATAGAAAGATGAAAACACCACCTTGAGAAGTTGGAGGATATGCCAAGAAACAACTTGACGTTTAGATATTTTGGTTAATAAAAGGGCCTATGATTTTGTAGCAATACTTTTTTTACTAATCCTTGTATTTAAGTGAAACTTGAAGAAGGGTGAAGAGGCATGAGGATGAGAGGAGCAGGGGCATTATATTCCAGACAAAGCCCTGAATTGCGATAGAGACCAGAGTGCCTGGTGCTTAGTGAATAAGTTGGGGGAGTTGTTCTTGGTAAAGTTGGAGACCTAAACAAAATTATATTATTCAGAATTTCTAGGCCATGGCATCAAGAGTTAACGTTTTATTTTAATTTCACTAGAAAATTCTTAAGGGCTTTAAGGGACTGTGATGGATCTCATGGACTTTGACTACCAAGTGACAGTGAGCTTCCCCTGTGCAAGACAGGAAGTGGGATGATCACTTAGGGGGCTCTTGCAGCCATCTGTAGGCGAGGTAGAAAGCTTCAGACTCAAGATATAGTAGTAATGATAGAATTGTCAGAAATTAAACTGAACATCCTCATATATATATCATTGTTTAATATGTATAAATGTAAGAAGAAATATTAGTGATTGTCATAAAGTTTTGGTTTTAAAGTTATGTCCATTTCATGTCTTGTCCAAGATAAATGGCCAAAAATTTGAAATGTTTTCTATTTCATGTAGAAATACGTTGATAAGTGAACTTTCTAATATAAAATTGAATGGTATTGGTTTTGTGGAATAGTACAAGAAGTTAGAATTATTTTAATATTGTTTCACTAAACAAGTAAATATTTCTTGTTAAGTAGTCGGAACTTTGTAAAAGATTAGTCAAGAAATAGATACTTTTAAACTGCTTTCAAAATAGAACGAAGAAGATAAGAAAGTTACTTTTCCTCATTTATAAAAATTCAGTTATTCAAACATATTGTGTATTTTGTTATCTTTTATGGATATAAAATACAAGTCCAGTGCTACCTAGAAATTTAATCGTTTTCTGGATCATCTCTTTTTGACTTAAAATTTGGCAGTATGTACTAGGAGAAGACTGCAGAATTAATTACCTAAGAAAAGTTGAATTTGAAAATGAACTCTTGAGAAAAAACATTTCAAGTATTTATTTAAGCTTTAATTGTAGTCTCATTTCTCTCATTTCCTCAACCTTCACAACTCTGCCCTGACATTTGTCTGAAGAAACAGAAAATGAATTTGCCTAATGAATGTTTCTGTGCTTTTCATTGTATGTATTAAATATATCAAAGTAATATTAGTAAGGTAAATTCAATACTCATAAATATCTTGTTGTTGTTATTGTTGTTTAGTACCATCGAGACTGTTCTGACTCATAGTGACCCTGTATAGGGTTTCTGAGGAGGGGCTAGTAAATTTTAACTGCTGCTTATCCTACAGTGCCACAGTGTTGTTGTTAAGTGCTGTCAAGTCGATTTCTGAGGAGTGACTGGTGAGCTTGGACTGCCGACATTGCGGTTCAAACTGACTTTTAGTCCAGCACATTAACCCACAGTGCCATACCTGGACTCCACAGTGCCACAATAGGATTCCATAAATATTTTGTAGATTACAAAATTGAAAAACAGTGTTAAAATTCAAGACTATAAGCGATGTTTTATATTACTCTAGGTTATCAAACAAGGGCTTACAGCTAATTCTTTGCTAGACAGAGGAATGCAACTTTCAGGATCAACTTCAAAGTAAGTACAAATAATACATTTCTAAAGTTTAAAGTTGCTTTTTCTTGATTATGAAAGATGTAGACTTTGTAATATAGCTATTCTTTACTTGAGTATAGACTTATTTTAAGACTAAATTGTGCAGAGTGACTTAAGTCTTTTGTCTGTCATGCCTTTGGTTACATTTATAAGCAGTCAGTATCACTTGACATATCAAAATCAGTAGCTAATAAGAAATCAAGGCTGATTTTTCATGTTTTGAAAAGGCTGTATTAAATATACTTACCTTTTTTTTTCTTATTCTGTATGCAAACGATATTTCAACAGTTTACATTTTAGTACCTCTTTTGATCTGTCTTTGAAAATTATTTGTGACATAAAATATCTATTCAATGCCATGAAAATTTCACTTGAAATACATATAGGGTAAGTGATCACCCATTTTAAGGAAATCCCACACTTTTTCATTTTCATGGTCTTTTTGATGTATCCTTTTCTTGTGAAATTCTATAGTACACCATATACTCCTCTGGAAAAGAAAGTTGTTGATAACACAGATGATGAAACATTAACAGAAGAATGGACCCTGGGTCAACCTGTTTCCCAGACCAGGACAACGGCCATAGTTGAAGTAAAAGGAACTGTGGATATTGTTCTGACTCCCCTGGTGGCTGAAGCTTTAGACAGGTATAAATTTTGTCTAAAATATATAAATGTGTTTTTTGTTTTTTTTTTTAATGTTTTATTGTGATTTATATGATAGTTTACATGGGAGAACATTAGTATTACATTGATCCTATTGTATATCATTTCATTGCCATGATTACAATCCCCTCCATGCACCAACAACCAACCAAAGGATATACTTTACAAGCCTGCCCCCCTGTCATCAGCACACAGCCCCTCTCCCTCTCTGGGTCTAGAGGCCCCAGCCCCTCCATCTCTCCACATCATCTTCTCTGCCTCCATCTCTGGCCTCACTGCTTCTCTGGGTAGGGTCCTGCTCTCCACTTTTCTCCCTTGGTGATCCTAGGAACCTCTGCTCCTAGACTGCAATGTCAGTCACTCCCATCCTTTTGCTACAAAATGTCATCCTTTACATTTCCAACCCTCACAGTCAGTCCTGATAACAATTATTCAGTATTGTATAACGAGACCTATCCACATCTCCTTTCATCAGCCCTGCCCAGACAGATTGGATACTACTCAGTGGAGATTCTACCTTCCTCTTTGCCCTC